TACTACAGGAGGAAACCTAAACTAAACTAACTTATTTATACTGGATAGCTCTATCAGTTCTAAACTGTTCTTCCTAGAGGTCCAGTAAGGGTCATCTCTTATTGATCCAGTGTTACTACAGGAGGAAACCTAAACTAAACTAACTTTATTTATACTGGATAGCTCTATCAGTTCTAAACTGTTCTCCCTAGAGGTACAGTAAGGATCATCTCTTATTGATCCAGTGTTACTACAGGAGGAAACCTACACTAAACTAACTTTATTTATACTGGATAGCTCTATCAGTTCTAAACTGTTCTCCCTAGAAGTCCAGTAAGGGTCATCTCTTATTGATCCAGTGTTACTACAGGAGGAAACCTATACTAAACTAACTTTATTTATACTGGATAGCTCTATCAGTCCTAAACTGTTCTCCCTAGAGGTCCAGTACTTGCAAAACCTGGTCCAATAATTGTATTATTACCGGATTCCATTTTCCTTTAGCCCAGCGTACAGTAGGAGGACAACTCTTCGCGTAACAAGACTTCATTTCTGAAGGTCTTAATTTCCTGTTGCAGTTGCTATCAGACAGAACACGAGTGCTATTGGAACAATAGGCTCTTCGAGATACTGTCCCAAGACCACATGTTTTGGAGCACTGAAAATAAATAAAGAATATAATTTTAAAGTGACATGTACACACGCAAAAATCTCACAACTTGTCAACAAGATGTGTTCGCAAAAGGCTCGTACTGTAGCAAGCTTGTCAACAAGTTGTAACAATGCTGCTGTTTTATCAAGTTGCTACAAGGTTGTCACTCACAACTTGTTGACAAATTGTTGAATTGCAGGATGATAACAAGATGTTGGAACAACTTGTAAAAAGTCTGTTGAGCTCAACAACCTTGTAGCAAGTTGTCAACAAGTTGTAACAATGCTGTTATTTTAACAAGTTGCTACAAAGTTAATTGTCACTCACAACTTGTTAACAAATTGTTGAATTGCAGAACTATAACAAGTTGTTGGAACAATTTGTAAAAGTCTGTTGAGCTCAACAATCTTGTAGCAAGTTGTCAACAAGCTGGGAACAAGCAGTGCGAACACATCCTGTTGACAAGTTGTTGGAACAACATTGCTACAAGTCTGCTGTAGGTTTGTTACAACTTGTGCGTTTTTACGCGTGCAGGGCGTTCTCACGTTTCCACGTCCATCAATATAATCAAGTATTGTACCTTGGTCCATTGTGTAGTTCTCCACGCTGGACATTCCTTCATGTTACATTTCAAAATGGAGGACGGTTTAATTCTTCTATTACAAGATATCTTTGTAGCATCCTTTATCTTTGAAATAACAGACACGCAGCTCACACCTCGCCGTCTGTAGCCAACGCCACATGTCTTTGAGCACTGAGGAAATAAAGAGATATGTTAAATTGTGAAATTCTCACAACTTGTCAACAAGATGTGTTCGCAACAGGTTTGTAGCAAGCTTGTCAACAAGTTGTGACAATGCTGTTATTTTATCACGTTGCTACAAGTTGTCACTCACAACTTGTTGAATTGCAGGACGATAAGTTGTTGGAACAACTTGTAACAAGTCTGTTGAGCTCAACAACTTTGTAGCAAGTTGTCAACAAGCTGGGAACAAGCAGTGCGAACACATCCTGTTGACAAGTTGTTGGAACAACATTGCTACAAGTCTGGTGCGTTAGAACTTGTGCGTTTTTACGTGTGTAATTCAATTAAAACGATCACCACTAAAAGAATTGGTCCTGACAAAAGATTGGAATTAATTTTTCTCACCTCACTCCATCTGTCCACTCGCCAGTACGGACATGTTCCTAAATTACAATGTGCAACTGATTGTGGTTTCCTCTCACTGCCACAATTTTCATCAGAATATCGTCTGCCTGATGTTCCATCATAACAAAGAACTGTACGACGTTTATAGCCGCGTCCACAACTCCTTGAACACTAGAGAGTCGCACAAATAAACGAGAGTGGTTTAGATTATATTTCCTCCTGTAGTAACACTGGATTAATAATAAGAGATGATCCTTACTGGACCTCTAGGAAGAACAGTTTAGAACAGATAGAGTTATCCAGAATAAATAAAGTTAGTTTAGTTTAGGTTTCCTCCTGCAGTAACACTGGATCAATAAGAGATGATCCTTACTGGACCTCTAGGGAGAACAGTGTAGAACTGATAGAGTTATCCAGTATAAATAAAGTTAGTTTAGTTTAGGTTTCCTCCTGTAGTAACACTGGATCAATAAGAGATGATCCTTACTGGGCCTCTAAGAAGAACAGTTTAGAACTGATAGAACTATCCAGCATAAATAAAGTTAGTTTAGTTTAGGTTTCCTCCTGTAGTAACACTGGATTAATAAGAGATGATCCTTACTGGACCTCTAGGGAGAACAGTGTAGAACTGATAGAGCTATCCAGTATAAGTAAAGTTAGTTTAGTTTAGGTTTCCTCCTGTAGTAACACTGGATCAATAAGAGATGATTCTTACTGGATCTCTAGGGAGAACAGTTTAGAACTGATGGAACTATCCAGTAGAAATAAAGTTAGTCAAGACAACCGTCTTGGTTTAATACTAATTTCTATTCTTACCTCACCCCAGGACCCAGTTTTCCAATGTCCGCTCATCGTCGGTTTCGGTTTCCTCGCGGGCGTACAGAGATAGTTTGAACAGTGTCTGATGTTGGCAGGCCGTAATAAAGGATCACATGTCTTCTCGCTTGTCAAACGATATTTTTTATCAAAACATTTCACTTGTCGCCTTTGAGTTCCCTTTCCACAATTCGATGAACACTAAACAGAATGAAAGATATTGGTGTCTGGCAACATAATGTCGTGGTGTTTTCCACATTACAAAGCAACTTTTAACTTTTTCCACTTACAGCGGTCCACGCTGAATGTCTCCAAATCCCACAATATTTGAAACATTTTCGTGTAGAGGAAGGTTCGGGAATGGTTCTACAAACGTCATCATTGATGATATTGTCTTTGAAGTCAACGCAACTGATGTTTCTTTCTTGAGTACCATCACCGCATTCTGATGAACACTGGAAAAATAGATGCAAGGAGATAAAAACCTGTACCTCATAAACCTTTATTTGTTTAAAAAATATAGAGGTCGTGGCAAAATGGAAAATACTGAATGACATTTTCTAGAAACGCTTTCCAACGGTTCACAACGAGGAAACGTTTAGCTATGGAGTGTATTTACGTCTGAATAAATCGCTGAATTATAAAAAATACTGCTTGTACTCACATGAGACCAGCTTGAAAACTTCCATTTGCCACAGTGTTTCACACAGTGTCTGACTGTCGCAGGTTTAGTGATATTTCTACATAATTCATTATTGATCACCACTTCTTTAGAGTTCACGCAACTGATATTTCGTTGTTCACGCCCTTCGCCACATTGAACCTGACACTGAAATATAATAAGATTATATTAAAGCGTTTAGTTCTGTCAATTCTGAGCATGAAAACCCGTGAAACTAGCTGCTTTTATGGAGATTGAACTGGAAGTGGAATTTGAAACTGGAGATATGATTCGACCTGGAAATTGAATTTGAGCTGGAAATCGAATTCGAAGCTGGAGATATGATTTGAGCTGGAAATGGAATTCGAAGCTGGAAATATTTCTGAGATGATATGTTGCCTAACAACATCGTAAAGTTAGAAGGCTTACTTCTCCCCAGTTTCTAGTGACCCACTTGACAGGTCCTTGGTTGACCACTTTGGTAATCAGGAACACGGTCTTATCACATTCCGGAATCTCTTGGCATGCTTGTCGTGTCACCGGCTTCTCTCCGGGAACACAATCTTCCTCGCGTAGTGTTTCGCGTTCATCATTTGCACAACGCACCAGACGTATTTGGTGGCCACGTCCACATGTGGTTGAGCACTAAATAGTACGAAATACTGCTGGTTAAAGCCATAACTGATAGGTAGTGGTGACGATGATAGATAGTGTGATAGATAGTGTGATAGATAGTGTGACAGATAGTGTGATAGATATTGTGATAGATAGTGTGATAGATAGTGTGATAGATAGATAGATAGATAGATAGATAGATAGATAGATAGATAGATAGATAGATAGATAGATAGGTAGATAGATAGATAGATAGATAGACAATAGATAGACACACACGCACGCACAGACAGACAGACAGACAGACAGACAGACAGACAGACAGACAGACAGACAGACAGACAGACAGACAGACAGACAGACAGGCAGGCAGGCAGGCAGGCAGGCAGGCAGGCAGGCAGGCAGGCAGGCAG